AATCGAGTTTCGAATTTCATCTACATCAGCACAGATAAAAGTTGAATATTCTTTCTGGTATCAACCAAGGGCAGACCAGGAGACTCGCCAAAGTCACACACACACACACACACACACACACACACACACACACACACACACACACACACACACACACACACACACACACACACACACACACACACACACACACACACACACACCAGATGAGCAGCCCTTCATAAATCATGATTGTATTTTATTGCACAATGGGGAAGAATATGATAGATCTAGTGGTGGTTCCAGAATTTTTTTTTTTGGAAGAGAGACGCGCCATCAAAAGATGTTGCTAAAATGGCAACCAAAAGGCATGCGTACCTATTTAAACAGATTTATTTAGTATTACACGCGACCACTTTGGTCGAAAGGAGAACAATTTCTTTACTATTGCCGCTAACTTTGATTTCATCCTCGGATCCATCTTCAAATCATAGCAAGATCTTCTATATTCTTTTCAAACTTTCAAGTTCATCGAAAAGAAAGTACTGGACGAAAGTGTCACCTCTTTTCTTGAACATTTGTAACCTTTTGCTGCTTGGACGCATTTGTTTGCGGTTAATTTTATTTTCAAAAAAAGGAAAGCATGTGCTTCATAAAAGCGTGTGGTCTGTCCCACTATTCATTGCATAACATGTTGGAGCGAAAGTTCTGCAACATCATTTTCAAAAATCTGTAACTCCGTTTTTCCAGCATATATTTGCCTGCAATCAATTTTCTCAAAAGGGTAAATTAAGTACTTTTTGATTCCGAAATAAAAGTGGATAAATAAGACTACCCTAGGTCCCATAGTTTTGAGCAGGCCGTCAAAATTCAAAAATGCGAATTCCATAAGATGATAGCAACTAGTTTAACACATTGATGACAACGCGCATTTTTACTTGTCTGTCAGGCCTTTCATGGATAAATCAAGATTTTGAAGCTAGAATCACGCAAGCTGTCACCAACCCTATACCTGCAGCAGTTTGAAGAAGCTTTCGAGAAACATGGACAGATCCAGAGGGGAAACTTTTGAAGTGGCTTCAGAATATAAGCCATTTCAACGAAATTCAAGCTGTGACCCACCATGTGGGTCAAATTGTCTCACGCGGCAGTCATTGCGTGGCTCATCATGTGTCAGATTACGACATCCTCTTCTCATCTGAGCAAGTGCTGATTGAACGCCTTCGTAGAAGGCCAATATTCGAGAAGACTGTACAAAACCGCAATCGATTTTTTACTATTAAAAATCAAAGCTTCCCAGGCCGCGATCAGCACAAACTTTGCCCAGCTCAAAAATGGATGTCCTAAAACGTGAGCTGATAATGTTTGGAATCTTACTGCATGGATTATATTGACAGACCTGCAAAACTCACCAAAACTCAGAAGATAAAAATCTTCAATTTTTGTCCCAGGAATCATACCTTTATAGAAAGCCTTTAAAGGGCTATTAGAAAGTGAATGATTTTTTCTTACAAGGGAAGGATACTAACTTAGATTCACCTTTTAAGACGTGACACATATAGTCGGAATCAGCTTGGAATGCTGATTCCAAACATGCTGTGCCTAGCTGCTTAGCGTCATTCTGAAGCGAGTTATGGTCTCTTTTCTACGCAAAGTTTGCGTGCTCCTCGATCTACTGATGCTACGGTGTCGAAGTCTAGGTGGTTTTGCAATTGTATAAAGTATTGCAATCGTATATTGTACAATCCCTTTCAAGATCGAAAGAATCAATCTGATGCTAGTTCAACATCCTAGCACTTTTTTCGAGAAGATTCTTATCTACACGCCGTCTTACGACATTCAGAAGTTTGTTAGTTGCTCAAAACAGCAAGCCCATAACTCGCTTCGGAATAATGCTAAGCAGCTAGGAACAGCATATTTGGAATCAGCTATATGTCTTATCTCAGAAGGCGAATCTAAGTTGGTATCCTTCCCTTGTTAGTAACAAAAACTCTCTTGCAAAAATATAGAAAAATAACGACGTTACAACTTCTGAAATTTAACGAACTTTCGGTTCAATTCAATTTGGAGCTGAATATTTGTGTGTGTTGTGTGTGTGTGTGTGTGTGTGTGTGTGTGTGTGTGTGTGTGTGTGTGTGTGTGTGTGTGTGTGTGTGTGTGTGTGTGTGTGTGTGTCTTGCTTCAGCGCATGTTTGAGCATAACTTTCTGACATTCGTTGTAATCGTTTCAAGAATTTTGCACGCTTGTAGGGGATTTGAAGATAAAACATAAAAATTTTGGTGCCGGGCTTTTTGACAAAAGATCCTGAAACTGGATTTCTTGTCTTTCAAGGCACGCTAATTTGAAACGAACTTACTTACAGAAATAAAAGCACGTTTGAGAAACATTGAATAAAGGGCTTTCAGAAGGTATACCAAACTTTCTGTGAATTACGTTCTCTTCTTTTTAACATGCGTTTTAAGGAAAGGGGATTGGGAAGCAATATCGATGTGTTTCAATCTATTAAAAATCGAAGAAACAGCAAAGAAACATGATTTTCACTGCAATATCGGTATTTAGGCCTGATGAGCACAATAAAACAAAAAGCGCGTCAAAATACGAATTGGAAGTACTTTAGGCCAGGCACTCTGTCCTTTTTGGTTGAAAACTCAAACTTTTTACTAATCGAGGCTGGGAAAATCGTAAGCATGCCTTCCGCTTTTTCTGCTATTTTGAGCAATATCTTCTTATAACTGTACTTTGTAATTGTGTATTTGCAGGAAACGTTGGCACTGTAGTTGTTCTAGAGGCTCAATCCATTAATCATTGAAGACTGTGCTTGCTGGCGCTATCGTCAGCGCATTTTCTGATGGCTGCCTGCTTGAGTTCGACAATCTTTCAAGGAATGTATCAGCACTGGATATTAGTGGGTAGTCGGCTAGAATATGATAAGTCAGAGGGTCCCAAATTTTTTCTAGAAGAGCCCGACTTCCCGACTCACAACGGCCACTTCAGCTCCAAACCCCTTTCCGTTCAAGGTTGGTAGTTACCTCTATGAAATGCTCAGAGAAGTTTTTCCTTTCAAAGCTGACATCGAGAAAATTTGTCTTGTGACTTTAGCCCTCATTTTGATTTTAATAAGTCATTTACAGCTGGTTGCCAAGCAAAAAACATTGGCAATAACAAAAGCATTTGATGTGTTTGTAGTGTTTACATACAAACGTGAGCCGAATTACTTCGATACAATAATCACTTATTATAGTTACAAAGCTAGGCAAATTTTTTATTCCGCTCATCGAGATTACGCAGTTAACACTATTCTATATTCTGCTGTGCTTGGACAACAAGCGGTTGCGGTGCTAACAAGGTATTGCTCAAAAGGCGATGTGGCCATTCCAAACAAGTTTCGTATACTATGCGGCAGAATGCCACTCAAAATCTGTTTTCATCTGCTAAGCGCCTCAAGTCAAGTTAATAGCACTTTTATTGCAGGAAAATAGCGCACCGAATTGTAAAACCTGACAATTGAATGCCACTTTAACCCATCTTTGGTCTTGAACTCATGAGTTACACGCCTACAGAGACGTTCAGCAGAGAGAAAAGTAGGTTGACAATCAACGTTCTATGCCGCATCCACTGGTTTGCAGCTTGTTTGAAATAGCCATTTTGACTTCAGACCGTTCCCTTGTGAGTTGTACTTCTGGTATATAGATTTAAAACTCACTTACAGTCAATTTAGATGGTACTCCTACTCTACAATTTATGTAGTTTGTTCGCCAAAACGGATGAGACAAGCAAAACGCTTTGTTGGAACATGAGAACCAAAAAATAAGGCGCAACTCAATTTTTTAGGCATTGACTCTATGTACGTGCATTCCTAGGCAATTGCTGAAATCAATGATTACTGCGAATTTTGCATTTCGATTATCTGTGGCACATGAGCTGTGCTTCATAGGCCATATGCACACCCCATATTTATTCACTTAATTCAATTTGTCTCAAAACTTGGTGTTTAGTGATGCCAGGTTTTGGTATTAAAGCGTGTAAGGTGTATAAGTATAGAGTGGTCAAATATGAATCTTTCTACAAGTTTTTTGACGCATGTCGCCCTTATATTCTCTCAAATAGAATTTATTGAATACAATTACTACATCCAAAGTAAGAAAAGATTGGTTTCATACGCAAAAGTGCTACATACGCTTTTTGCAAAATCAGTGCAACTAGCAGCTTCTATGTACAAACTCTCGTCCTAAAACATAACTCCTCTCTCAGGGGCATTCCGCAGCTACCGAAAACAGATCTGGAATCGACGCTCCACGTTCTCTGAGACGTTTACATCATATTCGGAAAAGCACTCCGACCAACAATCCTTTACTAACCAGAACGAATCTTGGAATCTTTTTTACCCTCTTCACCTTTCCGCCTCTTCTTTTTGGAAGAAAACAACAGAGTGGAGCTAGTTGCTTTTTTAATCACACATAATCAACAATCATCCTTCTTTCGCGTTTTCCAAGTAATCCTTGCTTAGAAGTTATTTTTAAAGTTGTGACCCTTGGTACAGTACCAGACTTGTATCCCGATACAAACTCAGCCCGACAAAACAATTTCCCGATGCTCTGTCTTGTTCTTCGGACCTGTTACGGTGGATATTTTGTGGGAGGACTGCAACTTCGCAGCAGACGTTTAATTTAGGGAGCACAGCAAGTCGACTACCGTACCCTAGCAGATTATTATAGTGCAGTACAAAAAAAAATAGCTGAACTAACCATAATATTCTGTTTCAAGATTCTGTGCATTGATGGAATAAAAACGGTAACTGGCGTTGCAACTCCCCTTCCTTATATAGTCTCCAGACCGAGAATTTTTTGCTGCTACGTAAATTTCTTGAAATTTTCTGCAAACAGCAGGAGGTGCAGATGCCTTTACATTAAAGCGCATTCGTTACTTTTCTAGCCTTTTACCTCTATTGTGTGCAAGCGTTATCGTAATTATCGAGTTATTATATGCAACAGAACTATAATTTCTTTATTTGTGAGGCCACATGGAGCAGCGAACTATGGATGTCATCATCGCAAGTGCTTGGTTCACACTCTCTTTATACTGCATTTTAGCAAACTTTCTGCTTTTTGCACTTATCAGCAGTAGCATCGAAATGCGTACATACACCAGGTTCAATCTCCTCTTACATTACCCTCAATTATCTCTTCTTTTAGCTACTGGATCATCATTTCATCCTCACTTTGTGAGATCAGCTACTCACTGTACACTCTGTGCTTTATGATTCCTGCTACCCTACTACACGACACATACTCCAGAGGTGACTCGACCTACAGTATTATAATAACAGCTCTTTCTGGGTGCCTTTGGTATATCGAAATAATTCACATTGCTCTGATGGCAATCAACAGGTGCGGAGTACGTGTACTGGTTTCTAATACACAGGAACAAAATTCCAGATTTCTCTCTATTCATTACCCAGTGTGTTATGCCACGCTTTTCTCTAGCGAAAACACTCTTTTTCTATTGTTTCTTTGTTATGTTGTTGGAATTGCGGTCTCTATTCCTCTGCTTACACCATGCTGCTACATGTTATATGATTCGTTTAATTATACATCATATCCAGAAAACTCGCAAACATGGTGAGTTTATGCTTTGCACGGAGGTGATACTTACTGCCAAGTTAAACCAACCCATCAACCCCTTTAAGCATACCTTCGATAGTCAAGAGACAGGGGCTAGAAAGTGATAGTTGTTTGAGTTCCTACTTCCTATAAAAAGTGAAGGTTGTTTCAAAAAAAAGGTAAAAATTTAGGGATATGAATCAAACCAGGAAACTTGAAAATTTTATATAAAGCAGAGCTTAGCACATCACCAAATCTAAATCCTTAACTTGGTGGTTTCCTAGGCACAGTTTCCTCTTCAGGTTATGGGTTAAATTGGGTGCCGACAAAAACAAAGTTCTTTTCCAATTAAAAAAGCGCTGTTTAACTGTGGCGATAGCAGGGAGACTGAAAGAAGGAAAACTTTCCAACAACTAACTTGAACATGTTAAACACGTCTGAAAAGATAAGTTGCACATCGACGGCGATCTGATTTTTGATGCGTCAAATTTTCAACCCCGCATAGTCATTTCGTATCCGACAACGTTGTCAGGATTCTTCCGCTCATCATTCTGAGCAAGTATCGTCCAAGCTGGAGAAAATTCATTGCAAAACACTGAAAGAGAACAAGGTAAAGAAAAACGCTTTTTTTTGTAATTTTCATAAAAAACCAGCATAGGCAAAGAAGTAAGCTCGGCGACGTTGTCTATATCATTGACAGAAACAAGAGCTATCAAATACACAAAAAACCGAGTGAAAAAGTTGAATTGAAGAAAAAACAAGAGGTTTTCGAAAAGGCCGTGTCTTCCAGATTTCTCGTCTAAATCATAAAAAGGAGTCTTGCGACGTTGTCAGCGTGAATTTTGCACAGATCAAGAGCTTTAATATGATATATAGGTTGTCGTAATTGGGCTCAGAACAACGAAGAAAAAGGTACCAGAGCCAAATGCCCCGCGCCCCGCATTTGAGGTAGCGAGGTAGCGCGCAATGCGCGGAGACGCAGACGAGCAGTGGGGAAGCCCAGAGCCGGCGGGGCATTTGACTCTGGTCATTGATCTCGGGTCAATGGGGTCATAACGAAACCCTGTAACATTATATAACATTGTGATCCTCATGAGACGACCAGGAGCACTGACAACGTCGCAGGTCTTGAAAATCACTCAATAACGAGATAGACCAGCATTTATGTGGCGAGTCTCTGTGCAAAATTTGAGCACAGTTTCTCGTTTTTATTTGAACTCCAGTGGTTTTCGTGGACTTCCAACGCTTAATCGCAGTCTAGAGAAAGGTTAATCAAGAAATATGGTCCTAGTTTTTAAGTGAATTTTTGAATAAAAACCTTTTTTCAGCGAAAAAGGCTATAAAAACGCAATTTTTTTTAAACCTTTTTTTTGGATGTCACTACTATATTCGCCTCATTCACATTCATCCCTATATGGATATGTCATTAGTTATGTCATAATATGCACTTCTACTGCACTTCTCTTCGGGTGAAGGTTGTGTTCTATCATGACGCTTAAAGTGAGGTTATCAGAGTACATGGCTCTATGTATCGAATGTATGCCTTTGAGGCATTCATAAAAGTTCACAGTGAGACAACACGCTTTAAACACACCGAACGTGGTGCGTCGCAGTGTTCCCACCGATTCCCACTTTGTTTTTCAATCAAAAAGATTTTTTGGAAATAAATGCAGGTTTTAGCGCTCCGATCCGAAGTTTTCGGATTGATTTAAGGGTTATGACGATCTCTCTTTCGCAAAGTGTATGTGCAAAGTTTGATCAGGCTTTCAAAAAAAATCCATCTGGAAACACATAGTTACCTAAACAAAATACAGATTTCTTATATTTTTGTATGGGCTCGGCAACTCATATGTGACTGCATTCCAGTCATTTCTTTTTTCTGTGAATGCTAGGCTTTAAATTGGAATAGTAAGGTTTGAATCTGCTAGGTTCTTGCTTGATAGGGTCATTTGCCACGCATGACTGCACACTTTGGGTTGTTTCATAGTGCCGCACTGACTGCAGCTGACCGCACTGACTGCAGCAGACTGCAGCAGACTGCAGCTGACCGCACTGACCGCAACGACCGCACAGATTGCTGCATCCTTTATAAAAGAGAAAACAAATCGATTACGTCAAAATACCGTGATTTACGCCATGGAAGTTCATACGTTCTGACTTACTCTTCTCAATCAGATTTCGGCGGTTGTTTTTCTTTGGTATGCTTAAATTTGTTCTTATTCCTCATTTATTGCGTATACCTGTTTTACTCTCGCTCATGTTGCCTTTTGGGTTCGGCATATATTGTTATTGATTGTTTGGGCTACAACTATTTATCCTCTCCATCTTTACGAAAGGATGCAGCGATTTGTGCGGCCCTTGCGGTCAGTGCGGTCATGCAGACTGCTGCAGTCTGCTGCAGTCAGTGCGGTCAGCTGCAGTCTGCTGCAGTCTGCAGCAGTCAGTGCGGTCAGCTGCAGTCAGCTGCTGTCTGCTGCAGTCTGCTGCGGTCAGTGCGGCAGTCTGAAACAACCCTTTCAGTCTCGTTGACCCCGCAATCGTTATGCAAATATGCATATGACAGATCATGTGAACAAAAGTAGCTGCGACGAGGAGTGTCGCCCCTACTCACGGAAGAGCCGCAATGGTGTTTACCAAGAATGCCGCTTCCCTCGCCGCAGCGCCTTCAATGCGTAGAGACCCAGGGCCGCATGCATTAACATCCCCGCCGGGGAGGCAATCGCAGCATAAGAGAAAGCTTCATATCCCGAAGCTCCAGACATCTGGATTCACGCGAAACAAGAAGTCTTACAATCTGCATTTTTCATCTTTTTGTATGATTTCCTGATAATCCCCGACGGCCAACCGTTTCTTCTTTAAGTCATTTCATTCTCATCGAAATTGAATGAAAGCATTTAGAAGTTGTACTGATTATCTAACACTATACTACTAAGCATGTCATGTTTCTGATGAGAACAGATGATATAACGAAGTCACGAAGATTGCGACGAAAAAAGTCGAAACTTGGGGTTTACCAAAAATTCAAATATTTCAATAGCTCATTCATTTTCATCAGAAACTTGCCTAGTACTGTTGGGTTGGACAATGGGTACAACTTCAAAATGTTCTCAGCGATTCTGAGGAAAGAAAAACGACCCCGAAGAAAAGACGGTTCGTCGCGGGGGACCGTCAAGGAATCATACAAAACGCTGGAAAATGCGGCTTGTACAGCTTTTCGCTTTTGTTAAATACGTACATATTGAAGAACATAGGACACTTACGAATATGTGGACAGGACAGCATATAATGCAGTTGTCTGGGCTTCAAGTACGAAGCTTTTTATTGAGCTGCGATCCCCTTTCTAGCGGGGTTAATGCATGCGGCCCTTAGTCAGCGTTATATTAGGTTGGAAACTAAGTTTTGCAACTGGTCTCATAACTTCCCCCTCACGCAACATGGCGCACTCAAATTTTGCCACTGCGTTGGTTATTACGTAAGCTACAAGCGCAGCTGCTGTCCTACCAAATTCTGACGCAGCAGTAAGGGTTATGGTAGGTGCGTGGTATGAAGGGGAAAAATTCTAAGTTTGACTGATTTGGCTGAAACTTGGCATGGGGTTATCCGACATGCTGATCACGAAAACGATAGTGAAATTGCGTGATAAGGGCTTTTCTGTAGGATGTTACTGTAGGTGTACGATATGGGGTCTCACCCTAAACAAGGAAAAAGGCGTTGATTCAACAAATGAATGTGATATTAGCGTTTGACAGGTCAAATAACCTTACTATTTAAAGTCTCGGTGGAATTTGAGCTTCGGACTCTTTAGTCATTGACGTCCCCAGCAGCTCTTGCGTACATCGACTCGTTCGACTTTAGGAGGACGCCAAATCTCGAAATGCCCTAAATTTTGTTTCTTCTTCAAAATGCCAAAGGAGTCAACCTCCATCAATAATATGTAGACAAATCTGGATTACTGCGCATGGTCTAGGCTGCCAAAGGCTTCATTTTAGCTTAAAATCCCAAAAATTTTCAAATTTCGCTAGTTTTCGAAAAACGCCTGAAACTTTTCCATTTCGTGTTCAAAATTTAGGCAATTAGTGCTAGCTTGTAGCTCACATTGCCTTCTACATAATGCCAAATTTTAAGTGCGCCATACCCAAAGAAAGGGAAGTTATGAAACCAGTTGCAAAACTTAGTTTCCAGCCTAATAAATTACCCATAACACAAAGTCTCTAGCGCTTTTGTAATTTTGGTACTATTTCGTAGTTCATTCGCCAAAATCTTATTTGGATTAAGTCGTTCTTCAGGTTGAGCGGGTATTGGTTGAAATAGTGTTTAATATGGTGTAGAGCAAGAGTCGCACGACCGTAATGCCTTCAGGGACTTTTTACACAGGACTACCGTGCGCGCAATATGTTTGCGGCAACTTCTGTCTGAGGCTGGGTTCATAAGGATTCCCATGTTCCGAAACTGTGCTGCATGCGCTGCAGCGGCCTCGCAAGCGTTATGAACGGCGGGAGTTGGAAAATTTTGACCATTTTCAACGGTTTTTCTTCCGGATCCCTCTTTCTACCCGGCTTCTCCTTGTGATGGGAGAAGCTGTGAACTTGAAGCGGGGTCGAGGATTGAACGCTGTTCTGCTTCATGTATCCGGGAAGAAGGGCCTTTGTGCGCTCGTCCATTCTCTCTTCGCTATATTTGTTCAGAGCTACTTCATGTGTTCTAGAGACCTGTCAATGTCCCTTTCAATACAGATGCGAGACTTCGCAGCGCCTTCCCCGAACACATAAAGTATGTTTGAACAAAAATAGCGTAGAGAGAATGGACGAGCGCACGAAGGCCCATATTCCCGAATACATGGAGCAGGGCGGTCGGGCAAGTGGCAGCAAAGGCCTGCCGCTTCTGCTTATGGAAGTACCTGAGGCGCTTCAGACTTCCTTGCGTGTACCTTATATGATCTACGCCCAATTGTTCGCAAACTTTTCGAACGCAGGAGATTGCGAGATATAGGTTCTATAATTCAAATTCATAGTAAATGAAATAGTAAGTTCTGAAAGGCTCATAGATTAGTTTCATTCAACAAAATGCAAGTATAATTTGGGGCCGCATGCACTAAGCTGCTATCCCTACCGCTGGGGGGGGGGGGGATTGCAGTTTAGAAGCTTCATATCCTGAAGCTCCAGATATCTGGTTTCTACGATGTTTTCGTAAGTATTCCTACCTCCCTTCGTTATGAACATATTGAAAGGAGCGAGAAGCTGTACAAACCGCATTTTCCAGCATTTTGTATAGTCCCATAATGAGCAGCCGACCGTCTTTTTTTAAAAGTCATTTTTCTTCTTTCGACGAACTCAACGAAAACCTTTCAAATGTACTGATTGTCTAACCCAACAGTGCTAAGCATGTTGCTGATAAGAACTGATGAGTTTTTGGGGCATCGATTTTTTCGGTAAACACCAACTTTCGACTTGTGGTTCATCGCAGTTTTATAATTTCGAGACATCACTTGTTCTTACCAGAAGAATGATTAGACTATTGAGTTAGATAAACAGCACAACTTTGGAAGGCTTTTATTGACTTCGAAAAAATGAAAAATGACTTCAAAGAAATGACGGTCTGCAGCTGGGGATCTCAGGGAATTATTCAAAAAACTGGAAAATGCGGCTTGTACTAGCTCCTTGCTCCCGCGCGATATGTTCATAGTGCAGAATGGTGTGAATACTTAAGGATAGGTAGACAGGTGAAATCCACATACGTGGAGCTTCAGGTAATGAAGCTTTCTTTTATGCTGCGATCTCCTCCTCAGTGGGAATGTTAATCTTCGAGCCGAAATCATGAACATAATCTCGTAAATGTTCCTTATCTTAATCAATCGATGACTTTAAGATAAGTAGCATTTAGTTCTCGGCAGAGACTTACCCCTTTCTACTCCATGAATTTTGAAGAAAACTGCCCTGAACCGATATCTCTGCAAGTTGGAACCGATTATTGCTGAGATTGAAGAAAATAGCCAGATTTCCAACTTGATTTAGAGTAAAACAGTCTTTCAAAGAATTTTCGCTTGTCTCTGCTTGTAAAGTGGTTAAAGGTGCGAAGAGTGGTTAGAGGCGCGAGTCTGGAGCTTCCGAGGCACTTCCAGAGCAAAGGCAGCTAGCCTTTGCTACCTCCTGCCTGACCATGAAGCAGAACAGCGTTCAATTTTCAACCCCGCTTCAAATTCACAGCTGTTCTCATTATAAGGGAAAGCGGGGGGTAGAAGAAAGAAGAATAAGCAATGATCTGGAAAAAGGAAAGAAGCTGAGAATGCCCAAAATCGAAACTCATCAGAAAACTAGAGAAAAATTCCAATTTATGCAACTTCAGAATTGTTCGCGCTCCCTAATTCGTGGCAGATGGCTGTGGAAACTACGCGGCGGCTTTCTGCAACAAATGGAGCAGGTCTGAGTATTACAAGTAACACAAGCACACATTTTGTTGCGAACGCGGAGCAGAAATGCGCGCTCTTTAGCCCCGCTCTAAGTTCGAAGCTCCGCTGATCTGAAAGGGAAGCGGGGTAAAGGAATACGGCCAAAATGAGGGGAATCTAGGAGAAGAACAGTTGAAAACGGTCGAAATTCTCCAACTCCCGCCGTTTAAAACGCGTGCGGGGCGGCTGCAGCACATGCAGCACTGTGAAACAGTTCCAGCACAATGCGGAAACTGTGCGAGAACACATCCAGAACATGGGAATCCCAACCAAAACTCAAAAAAACCCAGGCATGAGAAATGATCCCAGGCAGAGGGCGAGGAAAGATTTGCCACGTTCGTACCGTGTAAGTCTTCAGTGTGACTGCTTTAGATCGCCGTAGGAAATAACGTCCTCTTACACTTCAGTCAAGAATGGTTGTTTAGGAATAGTATATGGGGATAATTACACCTATAAAGTATCGAAGAGCTTCACAAATTGCTATTGATAAATATTAGGCTGGAAACTAAGTTTTGCAACTGGTTTCTAACTTCCCTCTCACTCATTATGGCGCACTCAAACTTTGGCATTATGTAGAGATAATGTGTGCTACAAGTAGGCGCAAACCTTTTGAATTTTGAGCACGAAATAGAAAAGTTTCAGGCATTTTTCGAAAACTGATGAAATTTGAGAATATTTGGGGTTTTAAGTTAAAATGAAACCTTTAGCAGCCTAGACCATGCGCGGTGATCCGTATTCGTCTACAAATTATTGCTGGAGGTTGACTCCTTTGGCCTAGTAAGAAAGAAACAAAATTCAGGGGCACATCGAGATTTGGCGTCCTCATAAAGTCGAACGAGTCGATGTACGCAGGAGCTGCTAGAGACCACCGTCAATGACTAAAGAGTCCGAAGCTTAAATTCCGCCGAGACTTCACATAGTAAGGTTGTTTGACCTGCCGAACACGAATACCATAGTCATTTGTTGAATCAACGCCATTTACCTTGTTTAAGGTGAGACCCCATATCGTACGCCTACAGTAATCCTACAAAAAAGCCCTTGTCACGCAATTTCAGTATCATTTTCGTGATCAGCATGTCGGATAACCCCCCTATGCCAAGTTTCAACCAAATCCGCCAAACTTTGATTTTTCCCCTTCGTACCATACACCTACCGTAACCCTCACTGCGACGTCAGAACTTAGTGAGACAGCAGCTGCGCTTGTAGCTTATATAGTAGCCAACACAGTGGCAAAATTTGAGTGCGCCATGTTGCGTGAGGGGGAAGTTATGAGACCAGTTGCAAAACTTAGTTTCCAACCTAATATATTCAATTGAAATTCACTTTAATTTGAAAGCTGTTAATTTGTTGCGCATGAATGCTTTACCTTTTCCTTAGGTTTATGACTTTGGATTTATGCTTGAATATCGTGATTCTTGTTATTGTCATCACTTCCTATACTGCAGTACTGCGGAAACTCCACACACTTCGACGCTCTTCTAAGGTAGTAGGCAACATGCATCAGATAAGAATGGCCCAAATTTTTTCCAGCAGATCTTGAACACCAAAAGGACCAGTTTTCAGACGAGCAAGGAGATGCGACTGCTTGCGCAGGTAAGTAGCTTTCTCTATCTTGTCTTTTAAGGTAGTTAGCAACCGCTGACGCGCATCAGCCAAAATATGGAAAATGAAAATGAACTAGAACTCTTCTTTATGCACCTTGAGAGAGAACATGGGTCGTTGCTTTGTGATGTAAGAAGATTTTGCATGTGGCATTAGTGACCATCTTCCACTACAAACCTGAAAACCTAGATGCGGATGAATGACGCTTTGGGAGAGAATCCTTGCAAGCTTAAAGGCAGTGTCCGGGCAAAAACTCGATTTTGAGATTTTGTGCTTATCCGGGCCTATTCGCTATGCTGAATCCAAAAATCCACACTGGAAAGCGCGAAAACGGCAAAAAAGGGCTCTAGCGCAGGAAGGAAACAACAAGTGGGCGGGGTCTTCCCCACCGCGAATCCACGCTCCCAGCTTCCGAGGCGGTCTTCTTGATTCCGCTAGCCGGCCTAAAATCGCTACCGGCCAAGTGCGAATGATTGACTTGAAACCGGAAGCGAGAAGATCGATCCGGAAGCTGGGAGCGTGGATTCACAGTGGGGAGGACCCCGCCCACTTCCTGATTTTCCTCCTGTGTTAGAGCCAATTTCCGCCGTTTTCGCGCTCTCCAATGTGCGTTTTTGGATTCAGCGTAGCGAATAGGCCCGGGCAAGCACAAAATCTCAAAATCGAGTTTTTGCCCGGACACTGCCTTCAAAGGCACCGTCCACTCAGTTTGAGGGTAGTGAGATTTTGATGTCATATAATGAGGGGGCCGCTAACCAAGCCATCGGACAAGTCTCGCCAAAAAAAGAATTTTATAGCGAGGAAACAGCTTCAGAAGGTAGAAGCGCCAGGTTGACTCCTCCCTTCAACGTGGGTGGCTGAATTATAAAAGTTCATTGGACTTCGGCTTGATGAAGGGCGGATTTATGATAACTCTAGATACATTGTAATCTGATATCGGGCTATTTACCTTTAGTCCACCAACGGTGATGGGCGCAGCCAACGAGGACTTTCTACTTTCTTTACTTCAGAATTCATCTTTTGCAGCGAGATCTGCGGGATGGCTTAGTTAGGGGCCCTCCATTACATGACATCAAAATCTCATTACCCTCAACTTGGGTTGACAGTGCTTTGATTTACAATTTTATAAACTAAATTGTATCAGCAATCGTAATCAGCATGCTTACTTACCCCACTGTACCAACTGCTGACCCATAGTTTACTTACTTACTTAGATACTTATTGTTAGATGGCCCGGCTTCACGTGACGTGCGGGCCCCAGCACAGAAGTTTCCATTTTTCCCTCTCCCTCGCTTCGGACATCCACGATCTTCTTGGCTGACGTCGGTGGCTGCGTCCACGAGTTCCAAGTGCAAAAATCGTATCCAGCTGATTTCTCAGCTGGTCCACCCGTTCCATGAACACGTTTGCCCATCTCGTTGGAGGTCTTCCTCTGGGACGTTTTGCTTCGCGAGGAATCCAATCCGATGTTCTTAGTGTCCATCTGTCTTCTCTCTCATAATGTGACCGGCCCATCGATGCTTCGCTTTCGCAATGTATTCCGCTGGGTCACGAACACGGGACATTCTTTTCATATCCGCACTGCGAAATCCGACTAGATGTTGCTTGTGTCGGGTAATCTTCAGAAGACTGCGCTCGAGCGCTCTGTGAATGGTCCTTAAGGCCTTCGACGTGGCTACGGTGTCAGCCCAAGTCTCAGCTGCGTAACAGAGCGCCGGGAGAACGGTTGAGTCGAACAGGTGGGCACGAAGCTCCGGGTCCGTCAGTTGGTCTTTGGCTTCCTTCAGATGCCCGAAGGTGGCCCAGCTGCTCTTCTTCTCCTGTTGAGTTCTTCCCTCAAGTAGTTCCCCATGTTCATCGAACGTCCGAGATACACGCAAGAAGACGTCTCCATGATAGGGGTGCCTTCCAGTTCCATTTCTGCATCTTCGCAAAAAGCGTTCTTCATGAACTGAGTTTTCCTCCGATTTATTCGCTGTCCGATCTTCTTCTCTACTTCGTTTAGCCCCTTCAGCATCGTCTCTGCCTCAGTGATACTGCTCGAGAACAGAACGATGTCGTCCGGAAAACGAAGGTTCGACAGGAATCTGGATTCGACAGCAAGGCCGCGGTGAACAGCTTTGGCGAGATTGTGTCGCCTTGTCGGACCCCCTTCCCAATTGGAACGGTCAGGGGGCGATGTAACAGCTGCATCGTCGTTGTACAGGCTTTGTAGCAGTCGGCTAACGTCCTCACGTAAGCTGGGTCCACTCTTTGATGGATTAGCGCTGACGGGATGGCGTTGCTTTCGACGCTGTCAAAGGCTTTTTCGTAGTCGACGAAGGTTAGGACGAGGGGCAGTTGGTATTGCCGGCAGACTTCTATAACCCTCGAGACCGTCTGGAAGTGGTCCATGAAGCTGAATCCTTTGCGAAATCCAGCTTGTTCTTGAGGTTGGGCTTCATCCAGTGTCCTAGATATGCGAGCGAGGATTATCTTCGTGAAAAGCTTGTACAGCACACTCAGGAGGCTTAATGGACGGTAGTTCTGAAGATCCTCCCGTTCGCCATTCTTAAAGAGAAGGACGGTTCTTGACGTTCTCCACTGGTCGGAAATCCTTTCCTTAAGGTAAGATGTTAGGTGCGACGCGAGAATCTCGTGCCCTCCGGACGTTGCCCTCCGGCTCGCAAAAGTCGACGGAAAGATGGTCTGGTCCTGGAGCCGTGGACGTCGTCATAGTCTAAATCGACGTGCGCACTGCAGCAGGTAGAATTCATGGTGGTACTTCTCCAGTGGGAACAACGGGCATTGGTACAGGTGTTGATGAGCGGAAGAGGTTGGTGTAGAAGTTCTTAGCGATAGATTCCATCTTGTATCGGGAAGAAGCCGGAGTCCCGTTTTTGTCCAGCAGTGCAGCCAGCGGCATGTGATATTCACAGAGGCCCTTCGGCACTTCTCAAAACTTCGTCTTCCTTTGGCTGCTTCCAGTATCTTGGCTTGCCTGTACTTCCTGAGGTCCTCCTGCAAAGCTGTTCTGCAACTGGTGTTGGCTATCAGTCGCTCGAGATGGGTTGCATTCGTACTCGCTCAACGGCGAATTCTTCCTTTACGAAACAGCATACTCCTCCTCCTCTACGTCCTACTCGATCGGCACGAAAAAGATGATAAGGAAGATCAGAAATAATCTCAGAATCGCGAATTTTACTACTAAGCCAGGTCTCAGTAACGCAGAGTACGTCGGGCGAATGAAGGTATAGAAAAGTGTGAAGAAGATGGACCTTATTAACTAAGCTTCTGGAATTAAAAAGAACACATCTCAGGAAAGCACAAGTGTCAGGCGGACCTATGCGTTTTCCTGTAGACGGCGTCTCGGAAGCTCTGAAATTTGCTTAAGCTCGCCTCGATAAACTACCCACTCTCTAGTCGCTCTGCCTTCGTTCCTCTCTCTAGCCTCTCTAGCCTAAGTTGAAATTCCTTCGCGCGTTCTGCTGCTGTCATGCTTCTACGAACAAAGACGTTGTGCAGTTCCGACCGTCGCAGAAGATGAGCGCTAGAGAGGGCCTGCTTCCAGAATGACTGCGAGGGAAAACTACTTTAACGAGTCTTGGCCTGTTCCCATCACTCTTTCCCATGCGATAGACCTCCGAAGGCCAACAGTCCACCTTCATGACCTCCAAGACCTTCGCTACCCCCTGCTCAAGTTCGTCTTTCCGTTCTTAAAGTGATTTTCCAGGTTCTGACTTCGGCAACCCGGCAACTACTATGCTGCGGTTCCTTTTTTCAACCTCAGGGTCTACAAGAATTTACGGCTTGAGCGCTTGAATCATTTTCCCAATCTCTGGGTCCGTGTTACGTTCCATAATCGAGTCAATGATTTCGGAGACGAAAAATCCACTATAGTCTTCACCCTGGCCTACGTTATTGATATTTCCTGCTAAACCCTGGGATGCGGTCAGACTTTGCGACGGAGCTTTAGAAATCCTTTTTTTGCCGGTACGAGAAGATGACTGAGACTGAGTGCCTGATTTACTTGCACGCGCTGGCATCGTCACTCAATCGATTGATGAGGAATTCGACAAAGTAATGTGGAAAAAAAACTTCCGAGAGATCCGAAAATGAAAGGAAGATGGAATAGAGTAATGAGGAAATAGGTTTGGTTGTACCTAGAAAGGAGAAAGTTACTTTCAGAAGAGTGGGAAATGAGAGATTGATAGGAGATGAGAGCAAAACTAAACGCAACCGCTCAGGAAGAGCGAACCAACTATATAAATATACCAGTTTCTGGACGCGTGTTATCAAACGGAGTTATGGTCTTGTTTGTACAATACCGCTCATAGAATGTGCAAAATTTCCGTAAATGTCGCGAAATTCCGAAAATTCCGCGAACTTTCCGTGAATGTCGCGAAATTCCGAAAATTCCGCAAACTTTCCGGAATTTCGCGAAATTTCGGAACGCGAAGTTTCGCGAAATTCCAGGAATTTCGCGGAATTTTTGGAATTTCGCCATATTCACGGAAATTTTGCATATTTTGTGAGCGGTATTGTATAGTGATATCATAAGTGGGCGGGGCTTACAGTTCACAATTAAAAAGCGAAAAATCGATATTTTGGAGGTTAGTGAACCACCAAATCCTCAAAATTGATAGAATCGGTATTCTAAGGGCTGTGAAATGCCGAAAATCGACAAAAATCGATAAAATCGATATCCTGGATGTTTCGAAATACCGAAAATTGACAAAAAATCGATAAAATCGATATTTTAAAGGTTGCGAAACTCCGAAAATCGACAAAATCGATAAAATCGATATTCTGGCGGTTTAGAAATTTCGGAAGTCGGTAAAATTATCGAAAAACTAAGCGAAAATTTTGAAAAACTCCATAATAAACTCATTTCCAGTGCTTTTATACAGCTGAAACTCCTCCAAGCAAGCTCCGCCCACTTTACACTCCACATCACGATCGAAATTGAAGAAAATAAGGAAAATTAAGGAAAAATAAGAAAAATCGCGTTTTTCTAGCCCGATTTACCCCCTTTCTAGCCGCTTTCAGCCCCCTAACCAGGTCCAGATGGCCGCGGGTAACTATCACACGCGCTGCAGAAATAAAGAGAGGGGAAAAAATGAGGGGGGAGAAAGAGGAGAAATTGCGAGACCCTGAACTAAAAAAACTCCGGGAAGGTTTATAGATGGGCTCCCACAAGCGGAGCCCCTGCATTTTCTCCGAATTATATGTGGTGTCCCCCTCGAATTCAAACTGAAGAATGGCTATCCCAGCCTGTTATCCCTACTCTCCACGGAGATAAAATTCAAACTATGCATCATCGCCTTTATATAGCGCCTCCTACGGTGGAGCTACAGCCATGATCTACCCCTAGAAAAATAGAGTTATCAAAAGTACATATCAATGATCACATGTGATTACCCCAACCCTACAACTCGCAGAGATATAAGGTCGTAAACTCGCCTTTGTTGACAGATTTCCCAAGTTTAGCTGTCAATTAGGCACTTTTATTGGAAACTTGTTATTACACAACCTCCTCTCTAAAAATTATATTTTTAGAGATCTGTCCAATAAAACAAACTCCAGCCTCATCTGTAATATTCGCAGAGTTATTAGCCCCCCAACATGCATGCTCAGGCCGTAAAATCGGCTCTCCCAAAGTTGCTCCGTAATTCCCCCAAAAATCATGTTAGACACCTCTCTCATACCTATACACCCCATATTTTTTTCCAGCTTCTTAGAAGCAATACACACTGATATAGCGCGCTCGCTCCTCACTCTTGGCCTCGGCGCAAGATTTGGTTAAAATATTAAGGTTCTCGGATTGACCGCAAACTTCACTCATAGTGGTTTTTGGTCCCGATCTTTACGAAAATCCTATTTATCTTGCACTAGAGAGTCTTACAGTAAAGCTAAAGTGAGATAGAAGTAACTACTCAGACAATCGCATCCAGAAGTTCGCGGGTGCTTGCTCGACCACCAATCATCCATGCCGCGAGCTGCCCGGTATAAACCGATATTGGACCCGATAAGTGACCGCGGCGCACCCTGTAAGCGCCCGATAGTTGACCCGATTAGCACGCTTGTGAGGCCCAGGAAGAGTAAAAAATCTTTTGCCATGTCTTTCATGACAACGACTTGAGCGCAAATTGAGCAACTTGTTAGCTCATCTGTCGACATCACCTAGTGTCGTCGATAATACTCATCCGACTGCTGAAGTTTATTTCATAAGCATAAAAACTCAACTCTGTCAGACAGGATCAAAACCGAGAAGCGATACCCAGCCTCATAAACACTTAAGGTAGCCCCATCGCTGCGACGTACCTCACGCGGGTTGCGCCTTAAACTACAGCGTGTAAGAAGTGCGGCCTTTGATAAGGCCGCGGCCCGTCGAGTGAGGTGGTTGGGCCGCGACCCTCCCGATAATCTCTTCCCAATTTCAACGTTGGCCGCGGCGTTCCCGGTAAAATATACATGGGCCGCGGCGTGCGGGGCTGAAATTTCAAGGGCCGCGGCGCGCCATGTAACACGCTTTGAGGCCGCGAACTTTCCGATGCAATTGTCTGAGTAAACCAATCAAGATCGCAACTTCGCCTGCACTTTTCGCCCACCTGTTGCGGAAATTGTCCGCAAATTTTTGTGAGTTCAAAACTTTGTGAACACCTCTATTGGAATATGCTTAGCACAGATCCTTATTTGAATTGTTCGTCAGATTATGATGTTACAAAATCGCCTTCTCATGAATTGTCTTTCAAATTCGAAACTCGTGTTGGCAGAAATTCTATCATACAATGTGTTACCAGCAGCAAAACAATGTAAGAAATGTTGTTAGCACGTCGAGTACAATACCGCTCACAGAATGTGCAAAATTTCCGTAAATGTCGCGAAATTCCGAAAATTCCGCGAACTTTCCGGAGATTCGCGAAATTTCGGAAAGTTCGCGAAGTTTCGCGAAATTCCAGGAATTTCGCAGAATTTTCGGAATTTCTCCATGTTCACGGAAATTTTGCATATTTTGTGAGCGGTATTGTATGTCTAATAGAAGTATGATCTAGAAAGGAGATGACATCTGTGGATGAAGAACATGGTCGGAAAACACTCGAAAACGTTCGGATGAACACAAATCAAAACTACAATGCTTTGTAGATGGTGTGCTTAAGCTTGCACATTTTTGTGTAGAAATTATCACAATTTTGCGGCTCAAAATGCACGAAAACTTAGCATTAGATAAGCTCATAACTTTTTTCAGAAGAATGCATTGCAGATATAAAAAGCTAATCTAGATCAGCGTTTTAAGATCTATCTATCGGTACAGATCACCTTCCGAATCGCCACTTCGACTAAGCGAACTTCCCTTGTGAGACTGATCACCGCTCCAACTAAAGGAGTTCGATGTGTCTGCGAACACTCTCAAAAATCGCCAATTGCGTTCGAAGTAAAGTATAAATAGCTGAAGCAGTTGGTCATAATCGGATAATCGATGAATTCTCTAAAGTCAAGTTGACCAGATACGTCCGAAAGTCTGCATCTCAAATAACGGATTCTTGGATATACCTAGACATAAAAGTTCTCAAATACAGAATATCGAACATGTTCAGCATTTTTTTAGTTCAAATGTTTCATTCAAGAGTTGAAAATAGTGATTTGGTCCAAAGTTTTCGGTAAAGAGAAGGGTCCAGGCAGTCGGGAAGTTAGGTAAGTTGCGAAAAGGTCTGCTGTCGCTTACAGCATGCTCAAAAATTGGGCATTTATGTAAAAATTCGAATATTGCTTAAACTCTCTTATAATTACTGCTCTTAGATTAGTAACCATGGCTCGGCACGAGGTGGCTAGTTGAAAATGCAAAAAACGAAGTCCCTTTAGAATTTCGCAAATTTTTACGAGGTCCCCTTCGACTCTGAAACCTAATCGTAAAAAACCCTCAAGAAACAAAACGTCGACTAAAAAGACGTCGCAATTTTTGTGTCTTTTCGGTCTCGAAATCCAGCTTGCTTACAAGCCACATGTACCGAGCCCTGATAGTAACGCTAGCATCCGACCCCCTTGCACCAACGCTTAATGCCATTCATTTCTCAAATGAAAAATTGGTTTTATAAGGTTGTCAGATCGCAACATTATCCTGTGGCCGCACTAGACTAAAGATTTCTTTGATTTTCTTTACCTTCTGGATGATTTTGCAGTGCCAGTTATCATATAGGTGGAGCGAACTGTGAAATCTGCCTACGAATAATTTGGACTTCGCGAAGTGACAGCCAGGGTCAAGCAAGGGGTGTGGCACACGATCGCTGGTTACGACCCCCCCCCCCCCCCCGTGGAGTCCGCCGATTGTCACAATCTGACGAATATCTGAATAACTAGTTTGCATCAGTCTGCAATCCCCAATTGCGAGAGTGTTCTGCCCAATAAAGTTCAAAGAGCCAGTTTTACAGGGATCATGAAACAAAGGAAAGGACTACAAATCCGCTTTTGTCGCTTTTGATTCGATTTCAAAAATCACCTAACAACATAGAGCGTGTGTTTATGAGCACCTGTTAGCATTACATTAGTGGAACAACCTCATTGTTATTGCAAAAGTTCCGTGTTTACGCAAATGTATTAAAGTTCTTCACTACTTCCTTGATCTTCATGGCAACAGTTATTATCTGGCAGATACTACCATATATGCCTCCGTCGACATGGATCTTCTTTGGGATGGTCACTCCTATCGTTCATGCGGTAAGGACCGTTTTTATGACATGACTTTCTAAAGCGTATTTGTAATCTTTTTGAGATCAACCCGACTATCTACCTCATCTTCAACCAGAATTTGAAACGAAGATTATCTGATATGATTTGGGGCAAACGGGCTAACGTTTCAGTCTTGACTATCACTATCGCGTTGAAAGCGAAATAGTGAAAAAAGGTTCTGTTCATAAGGAATTGTCTACGATTGATTATTGATACTATTTATTACGACGTTCAGATCTGTCAAAAGTGCAACACCTTCCAACAAGCTGCGTACAGTCCTGCAACTGTCTGAAAGATCTCGGAGTGATAAATGCGTTGACAAAACTTTGAATCAATCTTTATAACCTGAACTAGCACCTGAATTTCTTCCAATTCAACCTACTAAACGAGGATAAAGACTGTCCATTTATTCAAAATCACGCCTGCTTGGTAATGATAATGCATCTGCTTGTTATTTGTTGTCTTCTAAACCCGTCACAATCAGTAACCTTTCCATGGCAAAAAGTGAAACATATCGAAAAGCAACCATAAGCTCAACTTGTCTACAAAGTCATCAATGTTGGATATCAAATTTGCATGCGCGATTTTTGCAAAGAAAACGTTGCGCCCTACATTAGCGGTATGAGATATGTTTGGATGGTTTGACAGTTTGGATGGTCATCATAATTACGCTCCCAATTCTGTGCACCGATGTATTTGTTGGGAATGAAAATTTGTGAATAAATAATTTAGCTCAAGGAAGAGTAGCGTGGAGCGGCAATAATGTTACTGTGTAGAATACCACCCTTATGTCAGGTTCGTTGCAGAGTCCAGTGATACGCGTTCATATTAATGGTCACTGCCAGCGATACACGATGGAAGTCAATCTATAAGTAATCACTTCTTCGTGGTGCCCTTCATCTGAAAAGCGAGTAAATGATAGATATACCAGAGCCAAGCAAGAAATATGGACAACTAACCATGATCATTCTACAATCTTTCCTACGCAGTTTTCATCTAAAGCACCCTACGCTTAACCTGTTATCGGATATTTTTTGTGACAAAAGGTGTGTACATGTAATTTAAGGTTAAAGGACATGAAATCGCGGGATAATGCAAGCTGATTTCTCATGGTTTAATGGCAAATGCAACAAAGCCCTCTACTCTCCAGGGCCGGCGAACTGGTATAATCATGGAGGGATGAAAGCCCCGACTTAGCAATCTGCTGGCCCCCCGTGTCACTGCAAAAAGGCCCACACATATTCAGTAGCTTCTTCGACCCTGAAGTAGAGCGTTCGACGCATGCCCGCAGAGGATATTGAAAACGCCGAATCTTCTATCCTTCATCCTTTGAAATCTACTGCCGGACGAAGACGGTTGCCAAACTGAGCTATAAATAGCGGCGTTTCGGGAGTTTTGGCTTTTATAGAGGAAGTGGTTATGATTGTAATTTTGAGAATGCGCTAGGGATTGTGGTATGATCTACATCACAATCTAATAATTTGTACAGTATATGCTGTTTGAGCGCGCAGGATGCTGGTGCTCAAGTGATGCAACTGGATATGGAGTGCAGGTTTGACGATTTTTAGCGATGAATGTCTTGGGTTTTAGCTCAGGCAAAAGTTTCTTATCTAATTTATGGGGCCACTTTGCGTTTTTGCCGCCTAACTTACTACTGTACGCGGAGAGTTGCGGGAGAACGCTTCAAGTTTTTCCACAACCTTTGTCATATGTTCCATGATAATCTATTTACCATTACCATTTGTTTCAGTCACGGATGCTTGCGGAGGAGCTCGCATCATTGGATGGTGCTATTTTCAGTCAATTGTTCGTTCCGACCGCGAACTGGCGAGAATCCACCTGGAGCCACGCTTGCTCCGCCAGCGGCTTGTGCAACATCAGCCAGATCTCTTGGTTGGCTCGCGATTCTAACGAGTTGTAATGGGTAAACCGTTGATCAGAAGATTGTATAGCCATGTTATGTAATAGTTTCCGTTTATATCTTGTGTGGATAACGGATCAGTAACAAAGCTGGTTATGGAGAAATTTTTATATTTTACTTGAATTCTGTCGTTTTGTCGCAGAACATCACTGAAGTAATTGTTCATTCGAAAGCAAAAATTCGAGTTCCTCGATATCTTATTTCGGAAAGGGCCTCCGGTACTTGGGACCGTTCGCTTGTAAATCAGTCGAATCGCAGAACTCCCTGGGAAACTTTTTAGTGCACTTGCCATCACGCATACACGGTGATTTCGGGTTATGGATTCCACAAGGTAGGTGCATCATCAATGTCGTAACAATTCCATGCAGAACTGGGTCCTCAGCGGGGTCCGGAATGGTAGCGCTGATGAAGCGATCGACGTCGGCTGCTATGCAAGGTTTCGAGTCGTTGTCCAAGATGAGAAGGGAATACGTGCGTGGTAACCCTCGCTTCTGCCACTCGAAGACTGATACGTAGCCTACGACGCGGCCGAGAACGTGTTGTGAGAGGAGCAGCTCCATATGAGGGCGTGGAACTTGCACTTGTAAACTCTCGCAATCATGTAGGGACGGTCGGTGGCAGTCTGTCCTGGCTGAAGGCTCTCTTCAATTTCGCGCGATTTGGGGTTACAGGGTTACATGTAAACGTTATAAGAAATTCCGGCTTGCCATATTTTGCGACAATGGTCATGGTGTCTTGGTAGTATTGTAACATAGAGCGCGGACTTCCTTTAACCATGGCTGGCAGGATAATTCGCTTGCCCGGCGGTCTATTGCTACCGTCGTCAGTAGAGATGAAGTCGAGTAGCGACTGGTACGTATCCGCTCGAAGGTTGGCTTGATGAGTGCGGATGTAGTTGAGGCGATTCTGATCCGTCTTGACCCAAGCGTCGACAATGAATTGCTGCTTAAGTGGGCCGCCGTGATGAATCGGATTAAAGTTTCCAGGCCTGACTTGGAGCGAGTCGGAGTAGTAATCCCGCTGGGATATGCGAGTGCGTCAACGGGTGTGATCCCTCTTCTTCAGATCCGGGGTCCAGCCGAAATTTCCTCTCGGAAAAAATTACGGGTATTAGAGGGGATCGGCAACATTGAAAATGTTGGAGATCTTCTGAACTGCGTCGCCATATGGATGTACGGAAAATTCGCGATGGGCGGGAACGTCACCGTCTTCGCCGACGTAGATGACGGCCACCTCGTTGCATGTAGGGGGGTTATAGCGACGACGGTCAAGAGAAAGGTCCATCACGAAAATTATACAAACTGGCTTAGCACTGCGGTTCTCCCTTGATGCGGCAGCCTCTTTTTCCGTAAGAACCTCGTCCATTATCTTGTAGGATCGAGCGAAGGGGTTAACACGGTGTAACAGTGCACTTAACGATCGCATCACGTCGGGATCACATTCGAGTTCGCAGGGTGACTGAGTTGCTTCGCAGCTGCTTGTGCCATGTCCAGGATGTACAGCTGGCAGTACGATCGCGGTGCCCCAGGGGTGGGTTGAAGAGGACCGGAGCAGTGGTAGATTTGGCCGTGGATTTTGAAGACCCAATGACCGTGTCCTGCAGGCAAGTCAACTTTTGCTTCCATCGATGCCATTGCTAGTGCTGAATTGAACTGAATTGCCTTGTGGCGAAAGTTGCGGAATGGTTCATCGTCTCCGACGAAGAGCTTATGCATTTCAAGGGGAAAGTCGGCGAATTTGTCCTCGATAACAAATGTTGCCAAAGTTAAAACACGTGTTGATCCTATCACGACCATAAGGGACTTGGGCGGAAAAGAGTGCTGCTCCACATGAAGACAAATGGCATTCATTTCTCCGAGTTAATGCTCAGTGTCAGGCGGCATTTTAAGAGCACGAGGTGATGGACGTTGGCGACGGTCACCATTGCGTTTGCGAATCGTGGCAAGAAGACTTAATCGTGCCTCCGTTGTCTCCTGGCTGCGCCTAAGACGATCACGCTCAGCTGCGGAACTGCGCCTTGCAAGCAATACGGACTCGAGTCCCGTGCATCTGTAGATTAGACACGGCGGTAAGTGTCGGCTCGTCCATCTCACGATGCTCGGATGCTATGGTAGCGTTATAACGTGCGTTGCTCTCGCCTATTTCCTCAGTTCGTCGTTGAAGTATTGCAGCAGCATTTGCGTGTTGTCTAAACGGGAACGGGTCATGACTCACAGTCTGCGCGGCAAAACTCCAAAGCGACGTCGCAACGCGATGCCAACCAGTACGAGTGAGTTGCTATTAAAGGACTCATCGCTGACGTGATTAGAGCATGTCTGTCGTGGAGATTAGCCACGAATAGCCGGCGAAGATCGGCCACGCGTCATGACTCACACCGCGCACGACGATTTTGCAGAAAGCGATGGAATATTGCATTCTGTTTTCATCGCTTCGCGACGAAACTTTCGCGCAGACTGTGAATCATGACCCGTTTCGCAAAGGAGAAGAAGAGAGAGAGGGAGAGAGTGAGGAAGACGAGAGGAGCGACAGAAGAGAGGTATGATAGTTTACTTTGTCATGATCGCTAGCTGATACTGCCAGTTAAATGTTTTCACTCCTTCGATTGTGTTATTGCTCTTGCGTAAGTTTTGGCTTTGAAATATATTTGCTGTTTAGACTTTGATGGTAGTTGTGGTTATTTCTATCGTCAGACTACGCGGAAGTACTGAGGAAGGAGTATCATGATTGCATTTTGATCTACCGTTTCTTCGTATGTTTTCAATGATTTTACCAAGTATTTGACATATGTTATTTGACATTTTTTCGCTTCATTAACGTACAAGTGGCACTGTTGGCTGCCTAATGAAATACATTAGGTACCGCTGTAGCGTTACATAATATAACAGTGGCTATGCCTTTCATAACATTGTCTAAGTAGAAAATTCTAGTCAATTCCATTCACGTTTGTGCTTCCACGCTGAGCGGCCGCTCTTGTATTTTCTCTCACAGCTCACTGTTTGTTGCTGTTCTGTCTTCAGTTGCGTCCCTCCTTTTCAGGTGAGACGTTAATTTTCATACCAGTGCGTCACCTCTGCTTCGCAGAGGCTCGCACTGGCTCTACTATCTAGGCCCTACTTATTCTCGCATAATGATGGCATTGGAACTCACCGAGCAGTGCCAACTATCACGAACAAAATATAAGCAATTACTCATTTCGAAAGCTTTTTTTAGTAAAATCGGTGATTTCGCGTGGATGAGATGGATGAGACCTTTTGCAGGAGAACAAACGCAAATTTCTATAAGTTTTGGATTTTCCCATGGTCTTGACGGTTGCAATTAGAACAGCAGTCACCGTAAGCTACATCTTCGCGCACAAATCTCACCAAATGCTCTGGTGGAATCTTAGCAAATTGACCATTTACGCAACCAA